ATTTACAGCATATATTGAATTACCCAGAATGCACTGCCTAATCTCATCTCATTTTAAGCCGTTTTTAACATAAGCACTGCTTTTTTCAAATACACAAGCGGTAGTATAGATTAAAGAAAGAGTCCCTTGTGATGTAACTGAACTTAGCCGCATGACCTCAAACAGTCCTAACCAGGCATGATGAGATTAAGTGAAATCTTGCTCATAGTGGTCAAAAATCATGCTGTATATCAAATATCAAATATGTTTTGTTTGACTTGTCACAACCTGCAGCTTTTTTCCTTTCCCTGTGGACAGACAAATAGCTTGACGTTGTAAACGTATGCATTGCTCCTAGCTACGACTGAGTGTCATTCTTTTTTCCTCTGTCTGTCATGATGGTAAGAGCCTCAAGAAAGAGTCCCTTGTGATGTAACTGAACTTAGCCGCATGACCTCAAACAGTCCTAACCAGGCATGATGAGATTAAGTGAAATCTTGCTCATAGTGGTCAAAAATCATGCTGTATATCAAATATCAAATATGTTTTGTTTGACTTGTCACAACCTGCAGCTTTTCCTTTCCCTGTGGACAGACAAATAGCTTGACGTTGTAGACGTATGCATTGCTCCTAGCTACGACTGAGTGTCATTCTTTTTTCCTCTGTCTGTCATGATGGTAAGAGCCTCAATGGGGCAGTAAGCTTCCCATTAATCTTAGCTGACAGTTTGACCGCAGACGTACTGCAGCATGGCGGTGAAATCCTGGAAAAGGTCTCGCTTGGAAAGTGAAAGCATTCCTCTTCTCTGTATCACATGAGCGTCATCATTGCAGTAGTTCTAGTCTAGATGGAGGTTTTATTGAACATTAGAAACCTCAGTGTCTTTGACAGACAGCTGCGATTGGAGCCATTCCTAGTATTTCTTTAAAGGCAAAGTTTTAAAAATGAATCAAAGGCTCTAGGAGGAGGTGTTTTCAGCGGTTTTTTTCCAGGCTTACTTCAGAGTGAGTATCCATGTATTATTTATACACCACACAAAGCTGAGCGAAAGAGAAGGAGGGACAGTTAGAGCACTCATTCATATGCAGAATTAGTCAGATTCATTTAAAGGATGCCATGTGATGTGCTATCAGCTAATAAACTCGCTGGATTTCTTGATGTGATTAGATTACATCAATAAAGCTCAATAAAACTCATTACAACAATAAAGCTCTTTCTGATTCTGATTCTGATTACACATATATGCAATATCAGATATTTCATCTGTTCATTTACCGCATCTGGCTCATAAACATCCCTCTGTCCTAGCATAAGTCTCTGTAAATGTGTTTTGTTGGAACATTGTTCATCATCCTGAGAACCTAGAACAAGGTGGAGTAAAACAATAAATATTAAATGAAGGTTCGATTTCCATAGAATATAAATTCTACTCATCCATCAGTTTGTAAAAACAAACGTCATGTTTACAGTAATGCACTTACTATGGAAGTCAATGGCCCTTCTGCTTTTCACTGTACACAAATAAAAGGACTATACCTGCAATGTACTGTTTATATATTTACTATTTATATAGAGGCTGATGATGCTTTTTACATTTTCTTTCTTATTCAGGCTTCTCAGGCTCTTAAGCAGGTGTTTGTGCATAATGGCTCTTATTCCTTCCATCAAATGAGCCACTTGTGTAGCGGGTGCTCTGCTGAGGTCTGCTTGATGTTCTGCTCAGGTACAAAGTGTCTTTTTGAGACTAACTGATATACTTGACTTTCTTAGTATTTTGTGGTGAAAAATGATGCTTTTGTCTCTTAGACTAATGAAACTCACTGCTTAAACAGTTTATATGTCTGCTTTTAGGTGATGCCAGCAACATTTGTTCTTATTCATTACTCTTTAAGAGGAAAGTGGTGTAGTTAACATTTGAGACAGAAATAGATTGGGAGAGTCAATGAATAATGCTAGCAAATACTAATATGATAAAGTAAATGAGACGAACAGAAAATAGTGACTTTATAATTACTGTAAAGTCATAATTTCACTGCATTGCAACATCATTAGCAAGCTTTGAATTTCATCTCTGGTGCTTGAAATGCCTAAACTGGGTGTTTTATGATATTGAATTTCTGTATATCATCCCATAAACAGATTGGATGTCAAAGGCTATGTTCGGAGTGAAATAATAGCTTACCTCATACTGCGCAATTCGTACTCAAAGCTTTTTTTAAATATGTGAAATGCATTATAAAATGTTAAACCTTTTTTACACAATAGTACACTATACTGTTGTCACAATTTGCATGTTTAATTCAGGTGTTTTGCTGTTTTAACCTAACTTGTGTAAAAATATTATAACTTTAAGGTAATTTGTTATGCTGGAAATGGAAGGTTAGGTGGAGTCCATTGTATTGTGGGATACATTCTGTTATAAACTGCACATTTTAGCAAAAGTAGTAGGTCATACATTTATTCATTTCATACAGGTGTATTCTATATGCACACTGCAAAGTTTTAAGAGTCATAAATTATGCCATTAGTAGCTGTTCTGGTTGTTGGAAGTGCTGTAATTGCTTTAATGATACAAACTTGTTCTGATGTTCCAGAGACGGATGATGCTGGAATCATGCATGAACAAGAGAGATCAGAGAGACAGGTGGAGGGCCGAGATGAAGCTGGTATCTAGAGATAAGAAGGCAGATACAGGACACTGATGATTACTGTCTTTAAGGGCAGATTAAAGGGCAGCGTTAATCATCTCATCACCATGGGTAATTAGTTCCAACTTCAAACATCCTAGAACCAATCGATCAAGGCCCACTCTAGCCCACAGACAGGGATGAGCTATTCTAAAGGCCATGGTGACCAGAATGATGTCAAGTCAGTGAATGTAGAAATGTCCCTGAATCAGTTATGTGACTCTGACTGTAATGTATTAATGAGCTTTATCGGACCTCACGAAGGATGGTGGTGAATCCATAAAATGTCCACAGACAAATGGACTGATGATTTCATTTATGATTTATATTCACCTTTCCCCAGGTCTGGGTTCTTACACTCTGCACAAATTCGATAAAACTACCTTTTATTTTCAGCAGGTACAGTGGAGTAAAAGAGTAGACAACCACACACAGAAAATAGAATGGGAAAACCCCTAATATGCAATATGGCTGCTATACTGTCTTTCTTTCTTTCTTTCTTTCTTTCTTTCTTTTTTTCCATCCAAAATCATAATCAATAATTTTGGAATTATCAAAAAAGCAGACCACACATAGAAAAATTAATGTCTTTATATTTTATATTTAAATAGCACGAAATATGGCTGCTATACAAAAATGAGGTTTTGCATTTAAGTTAAAAATGCCAATCACTTTTTTGATAGAAGCAAACTGTGAAATATTGATTTGAGCATGGTTTGTGCTATGAAAAAATTACATTGTTACATTGTGATTTAAAGTAAGAATATATATATATATATATATATATATATATATATATTGTTGTTATGTTATTATAACATTAAAAGTGTTATTTAAATATAATCTTGACTTTTAGCAATTTAGGTCTTTCTATATTCAAAAGTTGAATTTTGAGTTTTGTCTTCATAATGACTAAGTGCTGTCTATACAATACTACAATAACAAACGACAATACATCACAGAAATTTTTTTTTTACTGTTATCTTGTCATTCCATTCAATTTTAGTCACTAGTCTTATATCATACTTGTAGAACTGGGTTTCATTTCCTTTCTCTCATCTCTCCTGCACAGCTCCAGCAGAGATATCATCACTGTATCATCAGTCTCACTCTGGATTACTGCCAGATGTTAGCTCGCCACAAAAACATTAAAAAAAAACTTGTCCATAGGGATCTCCATATGCCACAGAATCAATCGAACCACCAGTTTGACTGCCCCATTTATCTTCAAACATAACGATGGTTGGAGAAAAGAAAGTAGTCCAGTTGGATTGAAATTGTACCCCCCTCCTCCTTCCTTCCTATATTAGATATACAGTGTAATTTGTGATCAATCCAGAGGTAGGGAAAAGCAGTAGAAGACTTTGTGTCCTCTCAGCTGTGGCAGGGCTGGATTGAGTCTTAATCATCCAAACTATCAGCACAGACTGTGAATAAGCCCCTGATGAGCCCTTCATTTCGCTTGGTTGGAAATGCACAGAAAAACCACCATCTTTCATTAGTTTCCCAGTGCATGCATATATGCATGTGCGTGCACACGTCTACACATTTTGATTGGCCATATAGTACTTTTTTGTTGACTAAATCTCTCTGTGCTCGTGTAAATTAGAATGCCTTGTGCTCTGAGTGCTATCTGTGACGCTGGGCAGATGGTGAGGTTGAACTCCAGAGTGATGAGTCAAGGGTTCAAAATATAGATCAGTGCAACACTCTGCAGGGGCTGTGGTGAAAAGAGCACCCTTAAAATAACCTCTAGATTGGTGCTCGAACAAATATAAAATTCACATTTAAAATATCAACCATTTATGGACTATTTAGATTTTTTTTTTTATTGTTTGCATGAATTAAAAAAAGAAACAAACAAATAAATAAATATTACAAAATAATATAATACAAAAAAATCACTTTTGAAGTGGCATTTAAGTGTCTCTGCACAGACTGTTTACTGCTGCTCAGAAGTGGCATAAATGCATTTACACAGCAATTATACTTGATACTAAGTTTGGAAGAGGGTCAGAACAGGCAAAATATAGTCTGGCTTTTATGCAGCAATATGTCTTTACACTGAATTTTTAGCAGGCACAGAGCAGCATTAACTTTAGGCATCTTTAAACAGCTGAATCAAGGCTGCTCTGATCCTGCTCAAAATTCTGCTCGAAATAGTGCTGCATAAAATCCATTTGTGTAAAGACGCCTTAAGTGGCATAATGGCATAAATAACTTTTTAAAAATCAAATTACTCCATTATTATTTTCTTTAATAATGTATTACTTTTTTCATTTTTACTTCTTAATTTATTTTATTTCAGTTTTTACTTCTGTTATTATGTTTACAGGTTTGGTCGTCCAAAATTCATACAGAATAGCCTTCTTAAACATACTTTCTTCTATAGTAAACTAAACCTTTTAGATGTGCAGAAATCTTCTAGTTGCTGTTTATAAAGTACAATGAAAATGTCCCAGTCAAATTCAAGCCTAGAATTACACCGCTTCAATTGGATGACATGTAAGCAACACATGCAAAACAAACTCTTACATTACTCAGTATTCTGAATATACAGCCACAGTAACCCTCAGATATAATAACCCTTCTGTCTTCTGTCTCATTTACATAAGCTCCACCTTTTCCTCATCATCCTACTTAACCTGTGGAGTTTTGACATCACAGCAGACCAGAGGCTTAGTGCTACAACACACCTGATGGCTACAGGTAAGACTTCTTGCTTTTCCTACTGAATATACATGTTAGGACAGAACATGTTAGCTCAGTCTTTAAGTCTGTTATTTTTCCATCAGTATGTGATGCTAAGCTGTGTAAAGATAAGGGGGGAAAGGGTGTTTTTGGTGCTGTAACACCAAATCCTCTTAAGGAGCACAGTTGGTCACCATGGACACCAAAACATAACCATGACGATAACGGGGCACCTGTATTGTCACGCCTTTTATAGATGCAAACAACAGAATAGAATCAGTGTTAGTGGCATAAACACATATGCATAGTAATTATTAGCAAATACTCAACAGCCCTCAGATCTCTCTTCAATTTCATCCCTTTTTTTTTTAGAAGATGTGAAAAGTGTACCTTATAAAGACCTTAAATTTAAGAACTACCTCCCTTTAAATTCTTGTGAATTTAAATTGGGAACATGCTCAACAGAGATATAAATAAATGACGGGAAGTTAATTTACAGTAGATACATGCATTTCATTCAATTAAAATGTTCCTTTAAATTTTGCTTTTTCTGTTTGTTACTTCTGTTTACATTCAATTCAAATTAGGAACTGAACTGAATTTCTCAATTCGTTTTGAAAGCGCACAAACCTGACGTACTAACTATATAGAAATGATTTTGAAGATGCCAATTGTTACGGGGCTGACAAGACGTGAGACATGCGGATCCATGTGCAAGCTTTATTAAAGCAGAGAGGTCAGAAACACAGGCAGGGTCGAACAATGGCGAACAGGTATATGGCGGGCAAGACACAAGAATAATCCTAGGGCTAGCGAAGGTCAACGAACGGCGAACAGAATCAAAAGGGCAAGACTAAAGGGATAAATCCACGAAAACAGGCAAAGATCAGAAACCGAGAAAACAGACAAGGCAAGGCAAGGCAAGACTAGGCTAGGCTAGGAAGCTAACGAGGGCTCTGTAGAGTAGCTATCACTGCTGGCGATAAGCGCATACAATACTCGGCCCAGAATGGTTGTTTGAGTGGGTGTATTTATAGTGAATGTGTGATTGATGACAGCTGTGTGCAATCAGTGCTGTGTGCAATAAGTGCTGTGTGCAATCAGTGCAATGGCTGATGGGATATGTAGTCCGGGGTGATATGAAACAGTGTGTAGTGCGAGAGTCAATGAAAATGGAAAGGGTGACCTCTGATGGCTAGCAGACGGAAGTTCATGGACCGGATACGTAACACCAATATGGTTTAAATTCACAAAAAAATGAGAATCCATGTCTATCTAAACCAGTTTTCCACTATTCTAAATCAGTATTCTTAGTTGCAATAGACTGGTCAAGACTTTTAAGTCTCAAGTCTCATTTTATGATAAGCTTGCTCCTCTCTAGTGGGACAGCTAATCCAAAAACAAAGAGAAATGTATTACGTGAAAGAGCAACACCTCATTTTCATTTACATTGATTTATCTCCAAAAATTGCCCAGCAACTTTGTATCCAAGAAAAAATAATATACATTCTGTCTTCGTTCTGGAAGAATATGCTTTGTATCACAAGCTTTAGAGATAGTCATCTAACAAAGCAATTTCAGTGGAATTGTGATTTAGATGATCTTTCTTCCAATGAGTTCCTGTGTGGCTGGCTTCTCATCTTTTTGTGAAACCCAGGTTTTGTAATCAACAGCAAAGCCTTCTGGGTAAGTGCAGAGACACCTGTGCTTTTTGGGTGAAAGCCACTGAAGTGGAAGCACTGCCAGAAGAGAATGCCCTTCTAGCAAAGACAATGTAAAAACATAAAGTTCAACGTCACAACATGTTATTCCACCCCACATTATGCATGTTATTGCTCTGAACCATTTGGAGGATTAATACTTAACTCACCATCCTTGTCATCTAATTAGTTTCATGTTGTGTGTCTTCACATTTTCATCCTATCAGAGGGATCCTGGCTATAAAGACCTTGTTATGATGAATGATCCTCAGCTCAGCTAATGCTAACCTTCTGATTAGCACCTTGCAGGTCACAGCACCCAAACAGAGATTAATCTGAAAGTTATTTCATCCCTGCTGTGATATCCAGTTACTTGAAAATCAGTCGGATTAAGGTACTGTCAGTTTTTACTTTAAGAGCCGTGTCGAAATTCATGCCTAAAATATGAAATTATTAAACAAGATGCCAAGGTCTGCTGATGGATGCATGTCCAGAGAGTAAAAGATCAGGCACTGCACAATATTTGATAACTAGCTAGCTGACGGTTTGTTATTAAAGATCTTTTTAACTGGATCTCATCCCAGACTGGATCAGCAATTAGTCAGAGAACATCCAACCTATGGAGCTTTAAACACGACATGCAACATTTAACTTTACAGCTGATCATGCGAGTATAACGTATGTTATTTAACCTGTCAGTGCTGTTTAACCAAAATAATCATTTTCTCTAGTTATAGTTATCCTTCTGCCTCTATTTTTAAGAAATACCATTCAAAAGTTTGGGGTCAGTAAGATTTAAAAAAAATAAAAAATAAATAAAAATTATTACCTCTTTTCAGCATGGATGCATTAAATTGATCAAAAGTGAGAGTACAGACATTTATAATGTTACAAACGACTTCTAAATAAGTCTTAAACCTATTTTTAAAGACCTATTCTAAGACCTAAAGACCTAAATGATGTTTTTATGAACTTTCTATTTAAGAAATAGTTCTGAAAACATAGTTCCAACATTTACAACATTAAACATAATAATAAATGTTTCTTAAGCATCAGCATATTAGAATTGCAGTGATTTTAAGGTTAGATAGCCTCACACAGGGCACCACTAAATGTAGTGATTTTAGATTTGAGTAGCTCCACCAGTGTAATGGCTTTGGGCTTAAATATTAAACTTGACTTGGCTTATGACAATAAACTGTGACTTGACTTGGTTCATGACGATCAATTGTGACTTGACTTGACTCAGGATTGACATCTGTGACATAACGGGGTGCTGTTGTGTCTGCCATTTTGCGATCAGGCGCCTCTGTCGCCGGCATTTTGGAAGCGTGCTCTAGTGCGGCCGCCATTACATGAGTGAGTGCGGGGTCTCGTTCCTCCGCGATACCCACAGTGAACGCTGAACCAACCGTCAACAAAGCATAGTCCATACACTGACTTAAAGATGAACGCGGACCCTCGTGAATGAGTTTGCACTTTAGCGGTTGATTAATGCCCTCATAGAAAAAGTCTATCAAACCAGTGTAATGGCTTTGGGCTTAAATATTAATATTTAGTTTTGGTCATACTAACCATACTGTATGTTAATGTGAAAGGGATAGTTCACCCAAAATGTTCCCAAGTCCAGAAACGTAGCAAGGAGATCTGTAAAATAATCCATGTGACATCAGGGGTTCAACCGTAATTTTATAAAGCTACGAGAATACTTTTTGTGCGCAAAAGAAAAAAAAATAACGACTTCATTCAACAATTCGTCTCCTTCCTTTTAGGAAACACTTCCCACTTTACATGCATAAAGAGGGAGAGGGAGAACATCAGTGAAACAAGTTTTTTATTGGCCCCCGAACTTATTTAATTTTCCTTCCTTTTGATTTGTTTTTCAAAACACTTTGGTTTTCTGCTCTAAGCAGTGAAGATCAAACATCAGAGGAAGCTTAAATGACCTCCACTAATCAATGAACTCAGAGCAGTGGCTGAGAGATGAGATTCAGGCTATTACTGAACTGCTTTTGGTTCTCAGGGTAAAGTACTGTTTATGCCTCAATTTTTCCGTTGAAATAGAGTGTCAGTAGTTCAAGTCCAAGATTACAGGTTTGCACCCCGATAAAAATATTTTTTTAAATATTTTTCCAAACTAGTTTCGATGACCTATGTGATGACTTTGGACGATGCTAATTTGAAACACAATTAGGCAGGGTAACATTACTGAGTATTGAACTTTATAAACAGCATATCAAATTCTTTGGAGGTCACAGGTTTACCCCAAAACCCTCCATCTCATCTTCAAAATGCTACTATTATATACTAGGTATTTTGTGAGCTACTGGATGAAAATAAATGAGAATGAAATGAAAAGGAATTATGTACCATATTGGAGTCTATCAAAAAAAAAAGAGTTTTTTTTCAGTTTTTTTTTTTTTTTTCGTCAGTTCTTGTGCAGTTGTTACCTATTTCTATTCTATCGGATCCTTAGAAATTATTTTCATTGGTGTTGGCTAATGTATTCAGGTTTATTCAGTTATAAATTACATTTTTGACTTGAATAAAAGCAGTTAATTTAGATGCTATCACACTATGCACATTTCTAGCTTATCTATCAAAACATGTTTTAAAGTGCTGAATGCACCAGAAGGCTCATCAATTTTATCACAAGGAAAGTTTAAAATGATATAAAGAAGCCGTGTTTCTCTCTTCATAGTGTTTGCTTCCATTGTTGAAATGTATTTTAAGATATATTCAACCTAGCAGGGTAGGATATAAAGGTGATTTAGCTTATAAGTAATTATCATCTTGTTATTATGCTCTGGAGAATGATGTGCTACGCATATTACTGTGCAGAGTAATTCATTTACAAAACTGCTTATTTATGCTCTGGTCCAGAGATCATTCAAGCGTTAGACCAGTGAGGCTCGGTCAGAGTAGTTGTGCAACTCCTGCAGCATGACAAGATAAACTCTCTTTACATGCTCTAAAATAGAGGACTAAGAAGAAATATTAATGCATCACAGTTATTATGGAACTAAGAATTGTAATGACACTATGAGCCAATCCAGCCATGGAATGAAATTGCATTATTTTGTACCAAGTACTTATATAATATAATATAATATAATATTATGTAAAGTAGTAAATATAAAGTAACATTTGTTGTTGAAAAATACAGTAAAATTATTTTTTTTTAAATGTCAGCCATTTTTTTTTGATAATAATAATACAATTTCTCCTTTCTTTTCCCAGATCTCTCCCTCTTATATGAAATAGTTTGCAGCCAAGCAGGTTACCTCCCACTTCCTACTTGTTCCCTGTGTTGACCTTTGTATTTGTGTGTACAGTAGTATGGATATACAGTGTCACTGAAGATGAGCCAGGCAGAACATGGAAGTGGGAATGAGGAGTCTTTTCAGCTGACAGACAGCATGAGAGGTAAGATCATGTTTGTATTTCAAATATAATGACCCTGCAACCCCTTCGGCTGTGATTAGATTCAAAATAAGGTGCCTTGTTGTATTTTAAATGGTTGCAACCTGATAAAAATATTATGTGAAATAATGTTTTTTGAAAAACGAAATTTCACTTTGAAAATAGATCTTGATTAAATAGCTGTGCTGCATTTGACACAAAAACAGCATGTTGAAAAGGAAGGGAATATTTACAGAGCAATATTTATATGTAATATTAAACAAATGTGTCAATGGCTGATGCTTACACTTTAAAATGATCATGAATACCGGAGGTCAGAATGTCACCCTCTATCTATAACAGTTATCGCCCTGATGATAACCTGTAAATATAAAAAATGCAGAAAAACATGTAAACAACATGTAAAAAATAATAATATGAAAAAATATTTCATACATGTGATGGTTATTGAAATGGGTTTTTGTGTTGCCCTGCATTGCATTCTATAGTCTCATGTCATGTATGAAGGGTGATATACAGGTTATCATGTGTTTACCTGTCCTAACTGATAACTACTGTCCTGCATGACATTCTAGTAGCTCTACAAAACACTTATACATAAACACATGAGCCCATATGAAACAGGACAGACCAACATGTCAGCTGCTCTAGGAAACACCCCTATGTGGATAACGAAAGAGACCACCATCAACTCCAACTGAATGTTCAACTGATTGATTCAGAGCTGACTGATAACATTTGCTTCCTTCAGTAAAAAAGAACTAGTCCTTTCACTGTTTATGTGCATTGGCCTTATACAGTCGGCCAAGTGAAAACTAGTTTACAGGGTGTCCTAAATTATTATACTATTATTGTACTAAATTACTGTATACTGGGCTCGGAGAACATCAGTGCTGACTAAGCAGTGTGGATTTCTGCATTTCCATTGATATAAAAATAGTCTGATGTATGCTGTATCTCTTTTTTAGATTGCAGATGATGCTTTGAACTTCTCTCCTGAGCTTCCAATGGAACTACAAAGGAAGAGCCGAACAGTTCGGCCTGCAGGTCCCTTGGATGGAGGCTATGGCTGGTTCATAGTGCTTTCCACCTTCCTTGTCTTTGGTCTGACATTCGGTGTAATCAAGTCCTTTGGCGTGTTCTTCGTAGAAATCCACCACTACTTCGCAACCACGGCGACTACAAGCTCATGGATCACATCCATCTCTGTGGCAACTGTACATTTTGGGGGTATGTGCCATTTAAAGTTTCAACCAGCAGGGAGCTCTCTCTAACACCTATGAAGATGTGATTTAATAAAAATGCTTGTTACACTTGATTTTCATCATTGTCTGATCTTGTTCGCTGCATGCCAACACACAACCTCACTGTAATCTTGTAATACTTGGTAGAGACACATACGTTCTCTTATAATTTTTTTTAAATTTATTAATCATTTTTATTACAAATATTTATTGTTATTTAAATATTATTAGTTAATATTAATTATTTAATCCAATGTTATTTTGCACAATTTTCACACAAAATCTAAGCTGCAAACAATGAAGATGTGATTTGTGAAAAACTCTTTGTCACACTTGATCTTCACTGTTGTCTGATCGTTGTGATTTAGATGCTTGCCAACACACAAACTCGCTTTAATCTTGTAACATTTGTTAGAGACACACACACTCATGTTCTCTGGCACCATCAGACTTTAAAACTTTGTGTGGCTGAAATAAATCTAACAGAGCAGGGGACTAGAAATAGGAGTTTGTGTTCTACCCTCCATTTCTCTGTCTCCCAGTATGATAGCGTTACTGGGGCTGACAGAGCACTTGGCTCCTGGTGGTACAGTATGTCATGACTGTGTACTTCGTGTTTGTCTGTGATTCAGCCCCCGTAGGCTCCGCATTGAGTGCATACTTCGGCCATCGGCCAGTGGTCATGGTGGGGGGTCTGCTGAGCAGCATTGGGATGGTGGCCGGGTCATATGCCCAGGATCTGCTACAGCTGTACATCACTGTGGGGTTCCTTACAGGTAAGGGCGCAACCAGCAGTGGAGCATATGGCTGTACTCACGCTCCTGCACACACACATTCACACTTCCAATGTTTCAATTTGGATTCACAACTTGAAAAGGTCATTAGCCATTTATAGCAGCTGTATGGGATCTTATTCATGAACCTCTCAGATTCAAGAACACAGCAGAGCATATGATGAAATGAGAAAATGGTAGGGGCAAAAGAAAAAAAAGAAAGAAAGTTCACTATAACTGTTGGCGCATTTAGTCCAATTATTAATTTTATTTATTAATTACATTTTTACTATATCTTTCTTAATTACTTGTTAGTTAGCAAATTATTCATGTAGTTTACTTCATTAATTGCCACTTTCTTAGTATCTTAATTAACATATTTTTAATGTATTTTACTATTTAGTTATTTTGCTTAATTTTTGTTTTGCAATGTTATTTTTGTTTTATTTCTAATATTTATTTTCATATTTACTTATCTATATATTATTATTTTACTATTATCTCTTTTTGTACTGATGTTATTTTGCACAAAATAATCCATTTAACCAGTGGCATTTCAGCATTGTTTTACCCTTGAAAAATTAATGACTTGTCAGAGGAATAAATGCTTGCTCAGGGATATCCACTTGCTTTGCTCTCTGAATGTCCTTTTTGTTTCGTCCTCTGCAGGATTTGGCTATGCCCTGACCTGGACCCCTACTGTGACCATGCTGGGCTGGTACTTTGAGAAGCGACGGCCAGTGGCCAACGCTCTGGCCAGCACAGGAGAGTGCATCCTCACCTTCATCCTCACCCCATCCTTCCAGTTCATGGTAGATCAGTATTCCTGGAGGGGAGCGATGCTGATCCTGGGAGCTCTGCAGCTCAACTTGTGTTTGTGTGGAGCTCTTCTGAGACCCCTCAACAGACTCGTTCCTCCTAAAGAGCTTGAGGAGAAAGAGCACGAGCTGGAGCTGTTATCTCAACCTCACATAGACTCTAGAAGTTCAAATAATAGGTCAGACTCAAAAAAATCGGATGCACTGAAGGTCAAAATCATTCGTTACGTGGACTACACTCTTATCGCTAATGCTCGCTTCATGGTCTACTCAATGTTTGGTGTCTTCGCTGCTCTCGGCTTCTTCGCTCCATCTCTCTTTCTGGTTCCGTACGCCCGCAGTCAAGGAGTGGAGGAGTACCAGGCGGCCGCTCTCATGTCCATCTCTGCGGTGCTGGACCTGTTAGGCAGGGTGTTATTTGGGTGGGTGGCTAATCTGCGGCTGGTCAAGACAGTCCATCAGCTGATCGTCACAGTGATTCTGTTGGGCATTGTTCTGCTGCTCGGCCCTCTTGCAACCACATTCACCCAGCTAGCGCTGTTCAGTGCGGGTTATGGACTGGTGTTCGGAGCGACTGTGGCCATTCACATCACAGTACTCGCGGAGGTGGTGGGGGTGGAGAGGCTGGGAAGTGCTCTGGGCTTCTTCATGCTCATCCGCAGCAGTGGTGGCCTCCTTGGACCACCTTTGGCAGGTGAGATGTTTAAGAGAAATTTGGTCACTAGTGACTATCCTAAGCAGTGACATCAAAATTATTATGTTATATTTTATATTTATTTATTTGTTGAGGGTGTAATTTAGATAAATCACTAATAATATTATTATACAATAAGCAGCGACATCAAAATTATTATATTATATTTGTGATTTATTTATATGTTGAGTGTGTAATTTAAATAAATCAATAATATAATATAATATAATATAATTTGTTGAGTATAATATGTAATTAATTACTCACCCTCATGTCGTTTCAAACCCGTAAGACCTTCGTTCATCTTCGGAACACAAATTAAGATGTTTTGGATGGAATCTGAGAGCTGTCTGACCCTGCGTAGACAGCAATACAACTGAAATGTTCCCAAGTCCAGAAACGTAGCAAGGAGATCTGTAAAATAATCCATGTGACATCAGGGGTTCAACCGTAATTTTATAAAGCTACGAGAATACTTTTTGTGCGCAAAAGAAAAAAAAATAACGACTTCATTCAACAATTCGTCTCCTTCCTTTTAGGAAACACTTCCCACTTTACATGCATAAAGAGGGAGAGGGAGAACATCAGTGAAACAAGTTTTTTATTGGCCCCCGAACTTATTTAATTTTCCTTCCTTTTGATTTGTTTTTCAAAACACTTTGGTTTTCTGCTCTAAGCAGTGAAGATCAAACATCAGAGGAAGCTTAAATGACCTCCACTAATCAATGAACTCAGAGCAGTGGCTGAGAGATGAGATTCAGGCTATTACTGAACTGCTTTTGGTTCTCAGGGTAAAGTACTGTTTATGCCTCAATTTTTCCGTTGAAATAGAGTGTCAGTAGTTCAAGTCCAAGATTACAGGTTTGCACCCCGATAAAAATATTTTTTTAAATATTTTTCCAAACTAGTTTCGATGACCTATGTGATGACTTTGGACGATGCTAATTTGAAACACAATTAGGCAGGGTAACATTACTGAGTATTGAACTTTATAAACAGCATATCAAATTCTTTGGAGGTCACAGGTTTACCCCAAAACCCTCCATCTCATCTTCAAAATGCTACTATTATATACTAGGTATTTTGTGAGCTACTGGATGAAAATAAATGAGAATGAAATGAAAAGGAATTATGTACCATATTGGAGTCTATCAAAAAAAAAAGAGTTTTTTTTCAGTTTTTTTTTTTTTTTTCGTCAGTTCTTGTGCAGTTGTTACCTATTTCTATTCTATCGGATCCTTAGAAATTATTTTCATTGGTGTTGGCTAATGTATTCAGGTTTATTCAGTTATAAATTACATTTTTGACTTGAATAAAAGCAGTTAATTTAGATGCTATCACACTATGCACATTTCTAGCTTATCTATCAAAACATGTTTTAAAGTGCTGAATGCACCAGAAGGCTCATCAATTTTATCACAAGGAAAGTTTAAAATGATATAAAGAAGCCGTGTTTCTCTCTTCATAGTGTTTGCTTCCATTGTTGAAATGTATTTTAAGATATATTCAACCTAGCAGGGTAGGATATAAAGGTGATTTAGCTTATAAGTAATTATCATCTTGTTATTATGCTCTGGAGAATGATGTGCTACGCATATTACTGTGCAGAGTAATTCATTTACAAAACTGCTTATTTATGCTCTGGTCCAGAGATCATTCAAGCGTTAGACCAGTGAGGCTCGGTCAGAGTAGTTGTGCAACTCCTGCAGCATGACAAGATAAACTCTCTTTACATGCTCTAAAATAGAGGACTAAGAAGAAATATTAATGCATCACAGTTATTATGGAACTAAGAATTGTAATGACACTATGAGCCAATCCAGCCATGGAATGAAATTGCATTATTTTGTACCAAGTACTTATATAATATAATATAATATAATATTATGTAAAGTAGTAAATATAAAGTAACATTTGTTGTTGAAAAATACAGTAAAATTATTTTTTTTTAAATGTCAGCCATTTTTTTTTGATAATAATAATACAATTTCTCCTTTCTTTTCCCAGATCTCTCCCTCTTATATGAAATAGTTTGCAGCCAAGCAGGTTACCTCCCACTTCCTACTTGTTCCCTGTGTTGACCTTTGTATTTGTGTGTACAGTAGTATGGATATACAGTGTCACTGAAGATGAGCCAGGCAGAACATGGAAGTGGGAATGAGGAGTCTTTTCAGCTGACAGACAGCATGAGAGGTAAGATCATGTTTGTATTTCAAATATAATGACCCTGCAACCCCTTCGGCTGTGATTAGATTCAAAATAAGGTGCCTTGTTGTATTTTAAATGGTTGCAACCTGATAAAAATATTATGTGAAATAATGTTTTTTGAAAAACGAAATTTCACTTTGAAAATAGATCTTGATTAAATAGCTGTGCTGCATTTGACACAAAAACAGCATGTTGAAAAGGAAGGGAATATTTACAGAGCAATATTTATATGTAATATTAAACAAATGTGTCAATGGCTGATGCTTACACTTTAAAATGATCATGAATACCGGAGGTCAGAATGTCACCCTCTATCTATAACAGTTATCGCCCTGATGATAACCTGTAAATATAAAAAATGCAGAAAAACATGTAAACAACATGTAAAAAATAATAATATGAAAAAATATTTCATACATGTGATGGTTATTGAAATGGGTTTTTGTGTTGCCCTGCATTGCATTCTATAGTCTCATGTCATGTATGAAGGGTGATATACAGGTTATCATGTGTTTACCTGTCCTAACTGATAACTACTGTCCTGCATGACATTCTAGTAGCTCTACAAAACACTTATACATAAACACATGAGCCCATATGAAACAGGACAGACCAACATGTCAGCTGCTCTAGGAAACACCCCTATGTGGATAACGAAAGAGACCACCATCAACTCCAACTGAATGTTCAACTGATTGATTCAGAGCTGACTGATAACATTTGCTTCCTTCAGTAAAAAAGAACTAGTCCTTTCACTGTTTATGTGCATTGGCCTTATACAGTCGGCCAAGTGAAAACTAGTTTACAGGGTGTCCTAAATTATTATACTATTATTGTACTAAATTACTGTATACTGGGCTCGGAGAACATCAGTGCTGACTAAGCAGTGTGGATTTCTGCATTTCCATTGATATAAAAATAGTCTGATGTATGCTGTATCTCTTTTTTAGATTGCAGATGATGCTTTGAACTTCTCTCCTGAGCTTCCAATGGAACTACAAAGGAAGAGCCGAACAGTTCGGCCTGCAGGTCCCTTGGATGGAGGCTATGGCTGGTTCATAGTGCTTTCCACCTTCCTTGTCTTTGGTCTGACATTCGGTGTAATCAAGTCCTTTGGCGTGTTCTTCGTAGAAATCCACCACTACTTCGCAACCACGGCGACTACAAGCTCATGGATCACATCCATCTCTGTGGCAACTGTACATTTTGGGGGTATGTGCCATTTAAAGTTTCAACCAGCAGGGAGCTCTCTCTAACACCTATGAAGATGTGATTTAATAAAAATGCTTGTTACACTTGATTTTCATCATTGTCTGATCTTGTTCGCTGCATGCCAACACACAACCTCACTGTAATCTTGTAATACTTGGTAGAGACACATACGTTCTCTTATAATTTTTTTTAAATTTATTAATCATTTTTATTACAAATATTTATTGTTATTTAAATATTATTAGTTAATATTAATTATTTAATCCAATGTTATTTTGCACAATTTTCACACAAAATCTAAGCTGCAAACAATGAAGATGTGATTTGTGAAAAACTCTTTGTCACACTTGATCTTCACTGTTGTCTGATCGTTGTGATTTAGATGCTTGCCAACACACAAACTCGCTTTAATCTTGTAACATTTGTTAGAGACACACACACTCATGTTCTCTGGCACCATCAGACTTTAAAACTTTGTGTGGCTGAAATAAATCTAACAGAGCAGGGGACTAGAAATAGGAGTTTGTGTTCTACCCTCCATTTCTCTGTCTCCCAGTATGATAGCGTTACTGGGGCTGACAGAGCACTTGGCTCCTGGTGGTACAGTATGTCATGACTGTGTACTTCGTGTTTGTCTGTGATTCAGCCCCCGTAGGCTCCGCATTGAGTGCATACTTCGGCCATCGGCCAGTGGTCATGGTGGGGGGTCTGCTGAGCAGCATTGGGATGGTGGCCGGGTCATATGCCCAGGATCTGCTACAGCTGTACATCACTGTGGGGTTCCTTACAGGTAAGGGCGCAACCAGCAGTGGAGCATATGGCTGTACTCACGCTCCTGCACACACACATTCACACTTCCAATGTTTCAATTTGGATTCACAACTTGAAAAGGTCATTAGCCATTTATAGCAGCTGTATGGGATCTTATTCATGAACCTCTCAGATTCAGGAACACCGCAGAGCAAAGAGGGAAAGAGAGAGAGAGAGAGAAAGAAATAAAGAAAGATTTTACCCAAGAGACTTTAAAAAAAAGACAATTTATTTTGTCCATAATAACTACTGGTGCATTTAGTGTTACTTGTTTAATCTTTTTGCACTAATGTTATTTTGTACAGAATCTAACTAAACTAAAAATGTACTGATTTTGTCTGACCAATAAAGCACACTAAAGGAAAGAAAGAAAGAAATATATTACGCAGCACAACTTTTTCAACATTTAAAATAATAAGAAATGTTTCTTAAGCACCAAATCAGCATATTAAAATGATTTCTGAAGGATCATGTGACACTAAAGACTGGAGTAATGATGCTGAAAATGTAGCTTTACATCACAGGAATAAATTACATTTTAAAATATATTCAAATAGATAAGTTATTTTAAATAGTAATAATATTTCACAATATTGCTGTTTTTACTGTATTTTTTATCAAATAAATGCAACCTTGGTGAGCATAAGAGATGTCTTTTAAAAAAAACTTTTTAAAAAGTCTAGTGTTTAATCTGCAGTTACAGCAGTAGCACAAGTTACAGGTTAAGTTTAATGATAGCAGTTTTGCATGGCTGAGGCGTCGCTAGTTGGAAGAAAGGGGATCTAAGTACAAGGGGCCCAGAGACATTGGGGGGCCCATAACAATCTTTTTCGTGAAACCTAGCAACGCCAGTGGCAATACAATGTTTCAAAATGAAGGTGTATTCAGTCATTCAGTGTTACTAGATGGTCATAATACACATAATCTTGCAATACTGTTGTCTATTTAACCTGTGGCATTTAAACAATGTTTTATCCTAGAAAATTAATGACTTGTCAGAGGAATAAATGCTTGCTCAGCTATATCCACCTACTTTTATATCCACCTACTTTGCTCTCTGAATGTCCTTTTTGTTTCGCCCTGACCGGGCCCCTACTGTCACCATGCTTGGCTGGTACTTTGAAAAGCGACGGCCTGTGGCCAACGTTCTGGCCAGCACAGGAGAGAGCATCCTCTCCTTCATCCTCACCCCATCCATTCAGTTCATGGTGGATCAGTATTCCTGGAGGGGAGCGATGCTGATCCTGGGAGCTCTGCAGCTCAACTTGTGTTTGTGCAGAGCTCTTCTGAGACCCCTCAACAGACACGTTCCTCCTAAAGAGCTCATAGAGGAGAAAGAGCATGAGCTGGAGCTGTTATCCCAAACTTACACAGACTCTAAAAGTTCAAATAACAGGTCAGACTCAAAAAAATCAGATCCACTCAAGGTCAAAATAATTCGCTACATGGACTACACGCTTATCGCTAATGCTCGCTTCATGGTCTACTCAGTGTTTGGTGTCTTTGCTGCTCTCGGCTTCTTCGCTCCGTCTCTCTTTCTGGTACCGTACGCCCGCAGTCAAGGAATGGAGGAGTACCAGGCGGCTGCTCTCATGTCCATCTCAGCGGTGCTAGATTTGTTAGGATGGGTGTTGTTGTTCGGGTGGGTGGCTAATCTGCGACTGGTAGAGACAGTCCATCAACTGATTGTAACAGTGATTCTGTTGGGCATTGTTCTGTTGCTCTGCCCGCTAGCAACCACATTCACCCAGCTGTTGTTCAGTGCAGGTTATGGACTGGTGTTCGGGGCAACTGTGGCAATTTACATCACGGTACTCGCGGAAGTGGAAGTTATAATATTTTATATTTGTGATTTGTTTATTTATTTGTTTGTGTGTAATTATGAAGTCTACCACCAGGGGCTACATAGTTCAATATGCAATATTGTTACAAATGACTTGCTAAAGTCACTCTATAGTCTGACATCGTACAGTCACAAGATGTCCTGTTTCATTGTTTAGAAAGCTCTTTATCAGTCATCCGAATGCATACCCTTTCCTAATCATATTTCTTTGATGAGGTTTCTCATTAATTCCTTGACAGGACTCAATTTACAGTAATATTATATTATCTTCCCATAAAGCATTGCCTATCAGAGAAATGTGTTTGGCTATTGTGTTAATTTCATGGATTATTGGTCACTGCATAAATGGCTCTTCATGTTTCAACAGCAGGCCACGCTTTGACTGCCCTCACCAAAAAACCATTTATTTGGTTTCATTGGCTGTAATGTTTCTGTGCCCGCTGCTCAGTGTGTAGAACACATCACAAAAGGTAGTGTGATAATACATCAGCGGAGCTCTACAAAAGTGGCCAATAAATCAACAAACAACCAGCCCTGAACAACAATGTATAGAATAGCCTTAATTGATTACTTGATAAGAGGGTTTTGTTATGTTGAGATAATTACATTTTGCTCTTACCCAACAGTTTTTCTCTCAAGAACATCTGCCAAAACATGGCACCCCAAACAGCCAAAAGCCTTTCCCACACCAGAGGCAGTTCAACACTAAATCATCCAGAAAAACCTCATCTGTCCATTTAAAGGCATTGACTGCCAAAACTATGTCTATATCTGTATTCTGATAGACTAATGTACCTCAAATGAACTTCAAATTAATCTCTTGGGTTTTTAGTTTTTTCCCATTAAATAGTAGAGCATAGATTGATGTTTGGGAGGAGAGGAGAGCCTTTATTTTAGGCACTACAGGTTAAGAGTGTAGTCTGCTGGGCTCCATAACCGGCGATGTAATTACACCATAAATTAGCTCTGCAGCAGTTTTTGTCAGTGAGCTTTAATTGGGTTGGAAAACACCTTTACTGTGGCATTATAAAAGATGACTCAAATGATCACTGCGTCACTGACTTCACAGGCACTCTATTCCTTGGTGCTTTAATTGATCGATCATTTAAAATAAATGTACAGAGAAATGTGCATTCAGAAAGCAGCTTGGCCAGAAAACGTGAGGAGGGATGATGCACGAACAACTGCGGGCAAATTAGTGGTGCTTGGGCAAGCATCACTAGTATGCACAAGCTACCATCCAGCACATCCTATTGCAACTGCATACAAATGGCCTTGCAACCACCTACAACATGCTAGAAATGAGTTTTGGCGAATTTTGCATGCAAGCAGCACCCTCACATTTTGCTCAGATAATGTAAACATTTGAATTTTAATTGCAAGCTAATAACATTGTCATGATATTAAATATTACTTACCATTTTTTATGACTGCATAGAAAATGTGACCACATAAGAGATTTTTTCTTAGATTTAGTGATTTGTTTGCATATATGAATGACCTTTGTGTAATTTCCTTTTTTTTTTTTTGTGAGTTTTATGCCTTATTTTTACGCATTAATCCAGTCTTGTCACTGAATAGGTCACCTAAAAATGAAATTTTGCTGAAAATGTACTCACCCTTAAGCCATTCAAGATGTAGATAAGTTTGTCTCTTCATTGGAACAGATTTGGAGAAATTTAGCATTACATCACTTGCTCACTAATGGTCCTCTGCAGTGAATGGGTACCGTAAAAATGAGAGTCCAAACAACTGATAAAAACATCACAATAAACCACAAGTAATCCACACGACTCCAGTCAATCAATCAATGCATGTTTGTAAAAAGCTAATCCATTAAGGCATTTTAAATTTAAACTGTCACATCTGACCAAAACATGAGTCCCTAATGTTTCCTTCAGTATTCTTCTGACATCAAAATCCACTGACATATTTGTTTAGAACTGTTCTGGACCGTTTTTTGCTTGTAAATGGTGCATATTTCTCTCCTGATTTTGACACAATGACTATGTCACTGGAGAAAGCAATATTATGAATAGAGGACTTATATTTTATCAGGAAGCAACATTTTTAAGTTTAAAACATCTTAATGATGGATGTTTATAACAAACACTCAGCTTTTCGCTTCACAAAATGTTAATTTATTAACTGGAGTTGTGCAGATTACTCCTGGATCATTGTGATGTTTTTATCAGCTGTTTGAACTCTCATTCTGACGGCACCCATTCACTGCAGAGGATCCATTGGTGGGCAAGTGATGTAATGCTACATTTCTCTTTCAAAAAAAAAAAAGAGAAATATCTTTTTCAATTTAGAAACAAACTCATCTAAATCTTGGATGACCTGAGGGGGAGTAAATATTCAGCAAATGTTCAACTATTGCTTTCAGTGAAAATTTAACTTCAAACTTAATTATTAAATATTTTCTACTGGAATCTTCAGAGACAAAATGAGTGACTATGGAGCTGGTTTTCTGATGGCGGATGTGGCTCTTCTCGTCTCCGCCCTCTTTCAGCTTGTATTACAGCAGATGAACAAAAAAGGGACAGAAAAGGTAAAACTTAAACTTGGAGAACGGGAAAGGACATGAGGATCTGAAACAGAAATTCCGGTTCAGTTTAGCTACAGCCAAAGATGATCACATGCAGTCAAGAACAATATCTGCTGCAATTTCTTGTATGACTGTATGTATTTTATTCTGTCTATTTCAGTTTTAGTCATTTTAGTACTTCAAATTCAACATTTCATTTATTTTCATTTCTAAGTTCTTCATATATATATATATATATATACAGTGGGTACGGAAAGTACAATTGAGCATCTCTGGAGAGACCTAAAAATGGCTGTCCACCAACGTTTACCGTCCAACCTGACAGAACTGGAGAGGATTTGCAAGGAGGAATGGCAGAGGATCCCCAATTCCAGGTGTGAAAAACTTGTTGCATCAAAAAGACTCATGGCTGTATTAGATCAAATGGGTGCTTCTACTAAATACTGAGCAGAGGGTCTGAATACTTAGGACCATGTTATATTTCAGTTTTTCTTTTTTAATAAATCTGCAAAGATGTCAACAATTCTGTGTTTTTCTGTCAATATGGGGTGCTGTGTGTACATTAATGAGGAAAAAAAAATAACTTAAATGATTTTAGCAAATGGCTGCAATATAACAAAGAGTGAAAAATTTAAGGGGGTCTGAATACTTTCCGTACCCACTGTATATAGAGATAGATAGAGAATATATTATTTAGTTTAGTTAACAGATCTTATCATTTTAATCTTTTATTACATATATATAGTTTTTGACACTTGATCCCATCAGTAAATCCCAAAAAGAAATAATGCTGTAATAAGAGAAAATAGGAATCACGCTGTTTTCCTGTGACCTGATCCATCCTTTCTTTTAAACACTGTTGAGGTGATGAGTCCTTTGAAGTCTGTAATTGGAAACAGTTGATGGAGTTAAGTGAAATAACGGATCCCAGATCCGTTTCTCCAGCCATTTCTCCCTTAACCCGTAAAACCGGACCTCTTAACTTTGACCTGTGTAGTCAGGTTAGATTGAATCTAATAATAAAGACAAAAGGAAAACTACCTAAGAAATTGGACAGAAATGACAACAAATTGGAAATCTGTTTTTACAGAAAATTCAAAGAACACCTGATTAATGTGAGCAGGTCTTTTAAAAGTAAGAAACTATGACAGACTGTGTACAGACTCAGTAAACATAACCTTTCAAAAGTGACAAGTAAACACAGACAGACCTGTATTTCTCAAAAAAAATCCTGTTTCCCAAAAGCATCGAATACCAATCTACGCATGTGTTTACATAACGGCTCTAGCGTTGCAACTCCAGACTGTACTATCAAGTTTTTCCTGAATGGATTTTCTGGTGGACTATAAAAAGGTAAGAATAACAGTCTTTTCTTCACTCCAATTCACGTGTTTTCAGTCACCATTTCACATTCTTCCCCTTAAACGACTGTTCATACAACACGCGGTGTTTCCGTGACTTTCCAAAGCACGTGAATATGAGGCTCGCGATTTGCTGTCTGTTGCTACGCATTTAACCGCAACATTCAAACAGTGTTGCCAACTTAGCAATTTTGTTGCTAAATTTAACAACTTTTCAGACTACACTAGTAACTTTTTCTTCCAAAAGCACCCAGCAACAAATGTAACAATTTTTAAAATGTATTTGGCAACTTTTGATAAGTGACTAACAATAAAATATAGTGACAATAAAAAGGCACACATTTTCCATCTAAATTACACAAAAAGAGGAAACCAAAGATGCCTAGCAGTACACGCATCACGTGAATTGAGTTAGCTGCTATTTGCAATTGTTCAATTTAATAATAATAATTGAATAATTGTTCATTTATGATACACTTTGTTAGTAGCTTGTACTTGCGATTGTTGATCATTTTGTACGCTGTAAGAAAAACAGAAAAGATACTAATAATTTTCCAGGACATTACCCATTACCCAATATGTTACCCATTGTAACCCGAAAACACAATGCAGGTTAAAAAAAAAAAAAACCTACGGAAAATTTTCATATTATTAACGTAGTAGATTGTGCCCTATTTTTACAGACTTTTCTTTGAGTGTAGCATACTAACTAGGCTACTAACACTGCTTAAAGTGTAATTGATGAGAATGTGTAGTATTACTAGTTTACTAGCTATTAAAAAAAAAAAAAAAAAAAAAAACTTTGTAATCATTAAAAAAAATGTGTTGGTGTTCAATAATTCAATGCATTTAAAAACAGTTATTTATATTATGCAAATTATTTTACAAACAAATCTAAAATTAACATATATAAAATATATTTTTGCTGAGAATTGATGTTGCCACAATTTTGCGTCGTGATTACGCAATGACATCACAACGTCATTTAGCAACAAATCAACCTTCCTTTAGCAACTTTCTCTGAAAATTAGTTGGCAACACTGCATTCAAACACCGTAATCTTCGGTGAGAGTGTGAGATAAAAGGCTCTTTTAACAAGCTTCCATAGTAACTTACCTTTACCCGGGGTTAAATTTAGAACGACAATAACCCAGGCTTAAACACAGTCTAGGGGTAGAGCGCAACATGAAAAAAAAAAAAGACCAAGCGTGAACAATCAACTTTTTTAATATTTGGGAGTTCACTTTCAGGAGCCGACGGTGCCAAAATAATAAACAAAACGTTCTTAATATTAAACCCTCTAAATTACCTATCCGAAGTAAAGAAACTAAAATAAAATACAATTCTCTAACCTAACTACCTAATCCAAAAACACAGATCCAAACGTTACAAAAACAAAAGATGGCGTCTGACTCCTTACTTTCCCAATAACTATGTACAATATTCACAATAAATATTTACAAAGAAACATCTAGTTCAGAGGGAGAATCCAGAATCAAAATCGTACAACAGGCAAGGGTCGGATAAACCAGATTACCGTTACGCAAACAATGAATATCCAGACAATCTCTCCAAGCATACAAATGGGGGTAAAACAGCACAAGCACTGCACCAACAAACAGCATGGTTCACAAAATCATCACCTCACCACACACCCCCCTGAAGGAAATGCTGTCATCTCTTTTAAGGGAGAGAAGACCAATCAGAGGACGACATCAATGAGTCTGCAGGAACCAATCAGCAGCAACCTGGGCAGACACACACACAAACCAGCAGAACAAAACACAACAAAACTATAGGGTCGCAACACCTACACACTACACTTTTCTGCTGTTAAACCTTCCAGAACACATTGCCTCATAAACGTCCAATATCCAATTAGGCTACTGCTTTCTAACAAATGTACATTTTGTAAATTGCATAAATTCCTGATTTGACTAATATCACTTAACTTGTAACTGTTAAATACCTTTTAATACAAAACAGAAACAGACATGTGTTCTGATACTATTAATTTTTTATTTAACAGATATCATTGCCTATTACCTAGGTAATTACTCTGTTCCTTGTTTTGTGTGTGTTTTGCTCACCATGTGCTTTCCTTGCCCTTATTTGGTCCTTCCGGTTCCTGTCCCCATTTAGTTCTATTTGTTCCAGGTGTTCCTTGTTGTTAGTTATCCTCCTCACCTGTCTGCCCCTCGTTATCTGCCCTATTTGAGTTCTAGCCCATTCTGTTCTCCCTCGTCCGGAATTGTATATGTCTACCCTTGCTATGTGTGTTTTCCGTGTTCCCTGGATGTTATTAAAATCTATATGTTTGAGTTCCACTCCTTGTCTCCTCATTCCTTCGTCTCCGTGCTCCTCACAGTAGCCCAACGTGACACTGGGATATAATAAAATTTCTTGAATCCATTTTTTTTCCAGTAAACATGTAGCCTGTTTCTTCTGAACTCTGATATGTTCACAGGTGTCTTTGTCCTGTAAAAGCAGTGGTGTTAAAGGTTCAAATGGACTTGGCATTCCTTCGTTTTTTTCCAGCCCCTGCAGCAGGGGTACAGAAGGGTACAGAGAGTGTGGGGCTGGAGGCGGGATGTCCTACTTTAGGAGGGAACATGAATTTTCAAAGACTAGTGGCCCCTTCCTCAGAATTCACCACATGCTTTCATTCTTTCTGCTTGTTCACCCAGTCTGTTTTATCCCATGAAAATGAGCACACACACACTTAGAGATCGCAGAGAAACCTCAGGTTTCTTAAGACACAAGCAAATATGTGAAATATGAGATTTTCTACTGTTCTTTTTTGCTTTATCAGATACTTCACAGATGTATTTTCCAGATGAAGATACAAGTTTGTCATAAAATTATGCCCAGCCAAAGGAAATGTAAGAAAATCTCATTCCCCAAACTTTGTCTTTTCGTCCTCCTCTTTCCCTCCCTCTCTTCTCATTCCCTCCCTCCCTCTCTCAGAGTAACCATGTGCTTTTCGTGTCAGTAGACACATTTAACCCTCTCCTCAGAATAACCGATGCACAGACAGCTGTCTCTTTTTCTTTAACGTCTCCTCCTCTCAGTTCTCCTTTTGTAGTGTTCTTTATGTGTTTTTTATGCAGTTTTTTTCCTCTTTATGGCTCTGGAAACTCTCCTGTAAAGGAATTATTTTAACTGCAACAGGATAGAGACACCTTAAGCACACATATATACATGCTTGAGGAAGCCACAACATAAGCACCTCCAACGGGACGACTTCAAAAGTCTGAGGATTACTGGGAGAGAAGAAGAAGGACAATCGGGCTGAAAGAGCGGGACCATGCCGGGCTGTCAGATCCAGACTGGGTTTGTGCCGGTTCTGTTGGTCTGTTTCTTTCTGCTGTTGGCATCTGGTTCAGGGAATGCACGCATGATCAGGAAGAGGGGACTCAACCAGAAGGTAAGGATTCAATGCATGTGTGTGTGTGTGTGTGTGTGTGTGTTGGACACTGGAGGCCTCTTAGGCTCAGCAAGGCTGCATATAATTAATATATAATTAATATTTAATTTAATGCATGTTTGTTGAATAAAAGTATTAATTACTTTTTTATGCATATGCTAATATGCAGTCTCCTGTAATAACTGCATGATTGCCATATTCCAGTACCAAAGTATTTTGATATACCATGGTAGTGAATGATACCGACCATGTTCATATATAATGGTGTTTTCATTGTAGTACCACATCCAAAAAACACAGATTTTTTTCCGGATTACCATAGACTGCAAATACACTATAAAAGAAGTAGTATGCAGATATGCATTCTTAATATGATATCTGATGTAAACTTTTGTGAAACGTCTTTGGGCTCTTGACTGTCTGGTGTATTTTGTTTGCCAATTTGCTTGTATTTTTTTATTTATTTTTTGTAAAGTGTCCTTGGGTTCTTGAAAGGCGCTATAAAAATAAAACATATTATTATTATTATTATTACTATTATTATTATTACACTTGAGCAGGAATATGGTAATATCATGGCACTCTTTGGCCCTTTGTTGTTAGTGAAGGCAGTGTTGCCAGAGGTTGGCATCTGTGAGCCTTTAAGAGGGTTTTTAGGTCCATTATACAGTAAAAAAAAAACAACTAATGAATACACTGTGTCTTTGTGACTCCAGTGGAGTTGCTGTGGTTACGGTTGAATACTCAGATGTACGTAGTGTGTGTGTGTGTGCAACAGAAGTAGAGGGATTTCAGGCGGTTTCTGGGCCTGTGCTCATTAGTCCTGATAAGCGTAGGTTTGATTGATAACAATTAACAAGGGATGGCAAGATGGAATTTGCATGGGATGGATATCCCTTTCCAACTAACTGAATTCCAGCGTCATTCTGATTACGACTCTACTGCGGAATTCAAGACGGATCCATTAACATGCCAAAGGAAATGGACCGTGCCCAAAGTAACCTCCCTGTTATCATACGGACATCTTCTTTCTGATTTTTTCTTGTTCTTAAAAGTCCTTTCATATTCATTTTCATTTGACTAATTTATCTTTCCGTTTGACTTTATAACAAGCAACATCTGCTTCCTTCCCTAGCTGTCCTCTCTTTCTCACTCTCTCTCTCTGCAGACTAGAGTCATTGAACTGATGAAGCATGGACAGACACACAGTACAGTGCTGTTATAGCAATAAATCATAATTAGGTTCACACTGAGGATAATTGAGATCATTCCACTGATGTGACCTCTCTAAGAAAAACAGCAATAACAGGGCTCAGAGAAGTAGGTGAGCTGTGCCTCACTTTCAGGGTTTTGTAACATGGTATTGTAGGTGGAGAGAGAAAGTGGGTTTAAGCCAGCATTCTGCTGAGCTGGATTTTCTGGGTGGGCCTGAAGCGGTCCAAAAGCTATGCTGGTCAGCTCACGCTTGACAGCGAACCACGGACTGTTCTGTTTGTGTTTGGTAAAAATGTTTGTGGCTGAGCATTTCAGGCTTTCATGAACAACTCTGAGTCAGAATGTAATCAGTTCATGCGCTGTTTTCATAGGGTTTGCATAGCTAAAGTAAAATTTTAAGGTTATAAAGCTAATGATTTTTCATTGATCTGTAAAGATAGTCGTCACAAAAAGCTTGTACGGAATCCAGGCTTTTTTTCTGCAGAACATGTAAAGGCAGGTGAGGGGTCATCTCAGCTCGGCTGTACCCTCACAGCTCCATCAATCTCTAAGCACAGTGATGATTACCAGGCCAAGGGAGAACACTTTAAAAGCTGACAGAGATGATGACAGATGTATGAGGGGCCGTATAGGCCATAATTATTGAAAAGCCTCTTACAAACACTAGTGAAACGAAAAACAACACTTATCAACCTTAGTGAAATACATTCATATGCATAACTGAAATAATTAAAGATTTCAGTAGATGATGAGAGCTCATTTAACTTGAAACGGAAGCTGTGTCAACACTTCCGTTTAATTTGGCGCGTATCACAAACTCTTCAATGGCGGTTAGTGTAAGTTGTCTGAAGCTATTCATATTTTAAACAACATTTTACCGTCGTCAAGTACAATTCCGAAAGTGGGATAAAACAGCGCGATGTTACAGAGCTCACGCCGTGGTGACCTGTCATCGGCGCGGCTCTGCGACTCGACAGCGCGGGGAGGACGTGTTCGCTAGCGCCACCGAACTGACAGCGCGGCACGAACAGTTACTGCATTTCTTTGACTTATCATTACTACATGTAAATAGTGTTACCTGCTTTGAATAGGCCGGAAAGCTGCAAAGCACTTAATGATTTACAATACCTAGTCCTCTTAGAATTAAAAATATTTTATGGATTCATTCATCAAGACATTAGGTAAATTTTACATTTAAAGATATTTGTGCAACTGTAGCACATAGGCCTACTGAAAAAAATGAGTAAAATGTACTGATAATTTTCTGCCAGGACATTATCCATTAATTTTCCATTGCGGAAATATGTACCATGGTTAATTTTCAAAAGTTTTCCATTAACCCTAAAACGCAACGCAAGGCAGTGCAAAATTTAAAATACTGCCATATACAGTAGTACACTGTATTAATGAAATTGCAATGTGAAAGTTAAATAAACGAACACTGACCATTGCCTGGTCTTTAATTGCTAGAGGGGGAAAAATCCCATATAGCCTATTTAACAATAGGATTCAAATTTTAGGCTTGCCGCGATAGATGGTGTTGACGGTGATACCGGTGTTAAGCCGCAACACCGGTTACGTCACTTTCCCACCGACCCCCACCGTCGTTTTGAATTTTTTATAGTAATAAAAATAATTTAGTTCAGTAAAAGAACAGACACTACAATTAAAAACTGAATGCGGCTGCTGAATGCGTGCCGAACGACAGTCGCATCACACAGATCAGATTTCATTTCTCCAGTGAGGAGAGTGAGTCGAGCTGAGCTGACTGACAAGAAGAGTGAGCTGAGACAGACAAGAAGAGTGAGGTGAGGTGAGGTGAGACAAGATGATCGCGGATGATTTAGTTTCGAAACGAAATGCAAAAGCGCCTGTTTGGCAATATTTTGGATTTTGAAAAGCCTGTTGACTTTTGCCGTTTATCTAAGGTGATTTTGGAAGTTTTTTTAACATTCGTTTCTTATTCTGCTCCTCATGAGGACTACAGTAGCCTATTATTAAAGTATCTGCTGTTCTTCAAAATACATACTGTTTATGTGGTAGAAAGATAATAAGCAAAATAAATTTAATAATAAATTAACACTGATTTGCCTCATCTACTGAAATCTTTACTTATTTCAGTTATGCATATGAATGAATTTCACTATGGTTGATCTTTTCGTTTCACTCGTTTATGTAAGAGGTTTTTCAGTTATGCATATGAATGAATTTCACTAAGGTTGATCAATGTTTTCACTAGTGTTTGTAAGAGGTTTTTCAGTTATGCATATGAATGAATTTCACTAAGGTTGATCGGTGTTTTCACTAGTGTATGTAAGAGGTTTTCAGTAATGCGTATTAATGAATTTCACTAAGGTTGATCAATGTTTTTCATTTCACTAGTGTTTGTAAGAGGTTTTCAGTAATGCATATGAATGAATTTCACTAAGGTTTATCAATGTTTTTCGTTTCACTAGTGTTTGTAAGAGGCTTTTCAATAATTATGGCCTATACGGCCCCTCATACAGATCTGTTAGAGTTACTTGTCAACAACCTTCTGAGGTGATGTGAAGTGTCTGTCATCCTCTTTCAGGTTCTGTTCACTCATAGTAGACTCTAAATCAAGAATGCAGTATCTGCTTTCATGGCAGATTATTTCAGTTTGAATGGAACATGTAAATGTTTTGAACTATAAATAACTTTTGCAAGATATTAATCATTAATTTTCAGCTTAAATGATTCACCCTGAATGAACACCCTGGAACTTATTAGAAGCTTGTTATAAGTGTATTAGTATCATATGATATTAAATATTTTATATTCAGAGAAATATTTATGTGGCAGAAGAACAATCTAAATTAGGGTGATATTAAATAGAACAAAAATGCATAAAATGTTTAACATAAATAGAATAGATAAGAATAGCCCATATTTATTCAATAAATACATTACCGTTTAAAAGTTGGGGTCAGTAGGGTTGTAAAAATATATCAAAATAGAAAACATTTATTTTAAATTGTAATAATATTTCACAATATAACAGTTTTCACTGCATGTTTAAACAAATAAATGCTGCCTTGGTGAACATAAGTGACTTCTTTCCCAAAACATAAAAATCTTACAGACCAAACCTTTGAATGGTAGTAAATGACTAATAAAACTACAAAACACAATCATTTTTATAACTGAGTAAAAATGTGAACAGCACAGCAGCATTAAACTATTGACACAGAGACTTGAAATGAATCTGTGAATCATTTATTTGATCATCAAATTGTTTGTTTAAATGAACCATACAAACAAACAAACAAACAGATTTACTAAAATGATTCAGTCTTTCCAGCACTGCATACAAAAGAACAGATTGGGAGAGTTCAGCTCATCTGTAAAGCTTTGGGTGTGACACAATATGACCAAAAGTTATAAGTTCTTAAAGAAGCATTTGACTGTTCTGGTGTTTCAATTCTAAATAATATCCAACATGGGTTCAGCCTGAAGCAGTTGAACAGCAGTCATGTGTTCTGTTGAAGACTGAGAGAGTTCAACAGTAATCCCAGTCAGCTGAGGAGACCATGTTTAAATACACATAGAACAATAAGAAGACATTTCTTTGTAATGTTTAGATACAATACATGAATGTTTCATTAAGGGCTTATTTCTAAAGTCTACACATTGGATTTGCAGGGTGTTTGCTGGGTATTCTGGGTCATTGCTAAGGTGTTGCTATGTGGTTCCTAGGGTGTTACTAGGCAGTGTACTGTGTGGTTGCTAGGGTGTTGCTAGGCAGTGTCCTGTTGTGCTGATGTTTGGAGCATGGTATGTTCAAAACCCATCTACACCCGGCTGACACTACATGATGCATTTAAACTATGCATATTACAATTATTTTAAGGCAAAGGAAAATATTGTTTCAAACAAGCACATGGCAATTAAACTTATGGCATGTCACTATTGAGGTAGTACAAAACAAAGGACCTGCTACACTTCTTCAAAGAGTTTAGGGATTACCGTAATTTATCAGGGCTTATCAGGAAAAGTGGTGAAACATTGAAACAAGTGACCTTCACCCTGCCCCTCATCAAGCTTTCTGTTCCCATCTTCAGATCTGCCAATCATCTACAGGTCCTGTCCTACTCACTCCACTCAGTTCGGACTGAGCCAAGCCACCGAAGCACCTAAGAAGCTGTAAAATACCCAGAACTCAGCAGGAAATTAACGTGCAGACGTCTAGATTTAAATCACAGCTCACTGGTGGAACTTGGAGAGAGAGAGAGAGAGAGAGAGAGAGAAAGAGAGGAAAGGGGGCTATTTAGTTTTCCTCTAGTAATTATCTTAATGATTGCTTGGAAGACCACACTACAGAGTGCTAAGTATGTCAACATGTATTTAGTTCAAATCGTATTGTCCATACTAATAGGGGCCTCAAGTCAGTGAACCTGAAGTATGTAGAGCAGTAACAGGGTGGAGCATTTAAATGGGAAATTAAGGATATTTTGTGGCTCCTTGGAGGGTGAGGGAGTGTAATTTTGCAGTGCTTAACCCGGCATTGGTGACATTAAAATAATAGGCTGCTCTTAGTTAACTGTGCAGACATTTTTCACCGAACATGGAAGAAAAAATGAGGGTCCACACTCAATGACTGTCACTGTATAGATCTCTTTTACAATATGTTGCTTATACATTTGGGTTAAAACTCTGTAAAAGCAGCATCAAATAACTGTGCAGACATTTTTCACCGAACATGGAAGAAAAAATGAGGGTCCACACTCAATGACTGTCACTGTATAGATCTCTTTTACAATATGTTGCTTACATTTGGGTTAAAACTCTGTAAAAGCAGCATCAAGCAGTATAAAGTTCCTGTGCTGTTAATAGAAGTATCAGTATTGTTGTCTGATTAAATCAGAGGACTGAAACAAACTGTTATATAAGCTTCTGATATCTTCTAAGCAGGAACAGAGGATCTGGGAGAGATAAGCAGAAAGACATAAACAGCAGATCATCAGGGGACCTATTCCAGACAGGAAGCGCACACTACAACTTCCTCTCTGCCTCATCCAGAGACACTTGGGAAAATATAATCTGTACGTTAAGCAAAGGCAGACTGATCTTAACAGTCACTGATATTTTTATTGTCAGCACTGGTAAAACAGTATGCTGAAATACTGTCATGTTGATGGAAGTCAAAAATCATAATATATTGATCTAACCTTCTTCATAGGTTACAGACCCAAGTCTGACAGTCCATTGCTGTTATGTAACTGATACATTCATGAAGGTATCAAGGTAAAATTTACTTAGAAAGTATATCTATAGAAAACAGGTTATATTATATTTAATTGCACATATACATTTATTTCATATACACTATATGTTTGGGGTCAATAAGGGTTTTTGAAAGAAATTAATACTTTTGGTCAAAACTGAGATTAAAGACTTGTATTACAAAAAAACTAGACTATATTTCAATTAAATGTGTTAATAACTGATAAATGCATTAATGTAAATGTAAGCACAACTGTTTTTAACATTGATAATAAGAAGAAATATTTCTTGAGCAGCAAACAGCATATTAGAATGATTTCTGAAGGACTGGAGTAATGGCTGTTAAAATTAAGCTTTTACATCACAGGAATTAATTACATTTTAAAATATATTTAAATGAAAAACAGTTATTTTGAATTTAATACTATTTCACAATAATACAGTTTTTTCTGTATTTTTGATTAAATAAATGCAGCCTTTCTGAGTGTAAGAGACTTCTTTCAAAAACATAAAAAATCGTACTAACCCCACTTTTGGTAAGACTTTTGGTAACTTTTGAGTGGTAGTGTATATATGAATTGATCATGTATGATAATGACTGTATTTAATTTTTCTTGTACTCTGTAAAAAGACAATAAAATTGAATCTAAGCTAATTACAAAAACAACCACAATGGGCTTATGCCCGACATTTGCTTTTATTTTAAGTTTGTTCAAAAGCATAGCTCCAAACTTGCCAAGTGAACATGCTGAGTTTTTAAGATGCATGTAGTTCACAAACCCATAATTTAATTAGTAAACAAAATCACAGCCACATTTCGACTTGGGGCCTGAAATAAAAGGCTCTGTGGAGAAGAATGAAGTGCTGAATACCAGCTCATGCGTGTCTGCATTCTAAACAGCTCTGGTCTGGAGTTTCAGCAGCAGTTTAGTATATATACTTGGCCAGAGTTGCAAGAGAATTGATGAGCTTAAGTATAAGAAAAGCAAGAGCGAGAGAATGGAGGAGGACTCTCAGAACAAAATGCACCCCTAAACAGTACCTCTGGTGCAAACTGAAAACTGGCTCAGGCAGATCTATGAGCCCATTGAAGAACCCATGGGAGGAAGAAAACTAGAGCAGAAAGGCCCAGGTTTGGATGAAAAGCCTTTTTTTCTAACCCAGCATCTCTATGAGAGGTATTATGTTCCTGAACAGTGTGTCCGTTATATTAACAGTGCTAAATCAGAGAAAGTCACAGGTTATTGTAGATGCAAAATGTCATCCATGGAAACTGTTTATCAGACAGGTCTTCCAAGGAACTGAAACCAATGCTACGCAACTTGATTAGGCCGATTGTTTTGTACAATTAATGTACAAGTTTTTTTTTCTTCGTCTTAGTGGAAGCTTTAAAAATAATATAACACACCAGCAGACAAGCGTTTGGAATAATTAAGATTTTTTTTTTAAATGTTTTCTTTTATGCTCACTAAGGCTGCATTTATTTTATCAAAAATACAGTAAAACATTAATATTGTGAAATATTGTTACAATTTAAAAATAACTTTTCTATTTGAATGTATTTTAAAATATAATTTATTCCTGTGATGGCAAAACTGAATTTTCAACAGCCATTACTCCAGTCTTCAGTGTCACATGATCATTCAGAAATCATTCTAATATGCTTATTTGGTCCTTAATTATTAATAATAGTTCTTATTATTATCAATGTGGAAAACTATTTGCTGGAATATTTTTGTGAAAACCATGATACAATTTTTTCAGGATTCTTGGATGAACTGAAAGTTCATTGAACAGCTTTTATTTGAAATAGACTTTTTTTTGTAACAATATAAATATCTTTACAGTCACTTTTGATCAATTTAATTAATCCTTGCTGAATATATATATATATATATATAT